AGAAATTTTGAATGAATTGTGACGTTCGTTATAGCGAATGTTTGTAAACTGAGAGTTGCCTGTACTGTTATAACAGCAAGAACTAGTGACTCTATTGTCCTTCAGATACTTCCATCTAAACAGGTACCTACAAACACTACGAAACTCAATAATTTAACTCCGAAAAAATTTCAGCTACTCAGAAATGAAAAAGATAAAGTCTATCAAACATAACATGCAAGTACCAGTTATAATTAAACAACTCCATGAATCACAGACCTTCTTAAGAAGCAAACAGTATGTTCAACTAATTAAGAAATTCCCCTACCTTCAAGGAACCCAAAGAAAGATTCATTACTATGTTCACAGCGGCCTGCCACTGGTCTTTGTCCTAAGCCAGATCAATCCAGTTATCATCCTTTCACCCAATTTCCCAAACATCCATTTTAATATTATCCTTACATCTATGCTTAAGACTTCTGAGTGGTCTATTCCCTTCAGGCTTTCCAACAAAATGCAACAGACGGTATACAATAAACAACCAAAGCATGGTTCAGCATCAAATGAGATGATAATTGGTAAATAATGAATTCAAAAGGGGATGGAAGGAAATGTGAATGTCATAATTTATAGAATTATACCAGCAATTGAATGAACAGTAGAAAACATCAAACACCTACAGTCAAGATAAACCATCGTTTGGTTGAGATCTGTAGCCAGAAACGGCCAAATATGGAGCAGGAGTGCACACAGTTTCATCCAGTGGCATTGGTAATACTTATTAAAATTGCTAAACTGTGTCAATATTCATTAATAACACACACATAAATAAGTAAATACAAAACAATGCAACTGTTTATCATAAAGTTTGTTTCATTAAAAAGACAATTTAATTAATTATACTGACTGCATAATGTGAAAAACACCTCGAGAAAACATAGCCCCACCTGTCTACTAGCCTCTAGTAAAACTTCTGCGTTCCTCTTTATTGTATTTATATCGTCCCCCAATAAATTAACATCATCAGCATATGCCAATAGCTGATGTGTCCCATTCAATTGCAAACCCTCCTGCCTACCTTGGACCTTCCTGATGGCGTATTCTAGCGCAAAGTTAAAGAGCAAGGGAAACAAAGCATCTCCTTGTTTTAGACCATTCTTGATGAAGAATGACTCAGATAAATATTTACCCAAACTACACGTGACAAAAAAATCTCAAAGTAGAAATTCAGCATTTAAGGTGGCATTCAGATGGAACAGGTACAGTGGAGCAGACTTCAACAGAGCTCTGTATCAAAACAAGACAATAGAAAGAGAAAAACTCACTGCAGTGACCATTTTACCATCTAATGGTGTTGGGAGTGATGGGTTACAAGATGGCAGGAAGAAATAGCACAGGTAAGTGCTGGGCGACATACAGAGGATGGTGCAGGGTTAAGTGACACAGCACCATATCTAAAGGGAGAGGAGGGACCATACAAGTTTATTCCACCCTCTGATCACAAAATGCATCAATAAGAATCAAGTGCCACCAGGATGGACTCATATATGTGTATACATACATCAGAAAATTTTGGTTATTCCTCATACTAACCCTAATGACGTAGACAAAGCTGGCATCTGAAATGTTTGTTTTTGACTCAACACTGACAAAGGCTGATGACCCAAGAGGATTTATAATATTCATATACCACGAATGTTTGAAATCTTACTTAATCCTCAAAATGTGGGAATGATTCAATAGGCATATGAAGAAAAAGGGTTTTCTGAGGCTAGAAGCTGACTGTTGTCTACGCAGAAAATTGACTGAAAGGATTAAAATGTATATAATACTTTACATGGATAACTTAATCCTTATGTACAAAGTGAAACTTTCGCGGCAACTGAAGTTGATGAAAGACTCTCGGGTTACAAGCCGTGTCAGGTGGCTTGTAGCCCAAGAGTCTTTCATCAATTTCATCCTTGCTGGAGATGAAGATGATGATACCATTCTTTGAGTAAAGAAACAACTGTCCAGTGAGTATGAAATTAAGAATCTGGGAAAATTAAAATACCTCCTTGGCCTGAAAATCATGCCATTATGTTGGCAGTACTTAACTTTTTCCTCCCCTTCCCATGTTCAGTGTGATGACTGGCTGTGTTTAGTGTGCTAGCAACATATTCTGCATAATTTACATATTCTTCTTCACACAAATAAACCGAAAAACATTTCTCAGTAAATCGCAGGCATCTGACTTAATTAATTTAAAGATATTTCGCAACAATGAGGCATTAAACATACCTCGGAGCAGCAAGGTAGAAAATGTCCTTCTGGCCTGCTGTAAGCCGACTGCAGTACTGAGGTAGGGTCACTTTCTCTCCCTCTGCACATCGTGAAGACTCAAATCTCAACAGTTTAGCTATTTCCTCTTGCAATCAGCATTATCCAGTTGAAAACAATTCCTTGCTCTGGAAAAAGAAACTTCCATGGACTACGAATGTACCTATACATTTATCATGTTGCATGTCCAGCAGAATGTGAAACTACAGCAAATATAAGCTATATTCTAAGTGACAGTAATCTGTTATGCATAGAATTAGCTGTTTTCAGTCATCACAGCAAGTATTCAAACATTATACAACTTAGAAGTGGAGTGACACACGAAGGAAGAAATGAGGAATGCGATCATTTTGGATGTAGTGGAAGTGATGAGACCTAAGGTTCTCACAGCGATGAACATGAAGATGGCTTTCTTATGGGATGTTTCGCCCTGTAGTCAAGTACAAATAGATTAATGTTTCAGAGATGTTTACTGCCTCCATCATCCTTTAAAAACTAAGGGCCAAATTAAAATTAACCTATTTATTTTGATCTCTTTGTGATATTCTGATAAAACCTGGTATATGCCACTCTTCCAAACAAGTATTGCTGGGCATGACTAATTTACTTTAATCCTTAGACGTCATGCTTGGTTAGAGAGAAAGCAAATGCCATCCCTGCCTGGTTGTTCCTGAATTAAAGTCAGACTTGTTACCGTTGCTCCATTCTGCTTTGTACATCTCTTACCTCTTTGAAGATAAAGCTTATCTAAATAATATTTAACAATTTAGTATGTACCGCAAAGAAAACACAACTCTTCACATTACAAAGATCAACTGGTTAATGCTGTTTAAGCAAACAATCGCTGTTTATACCAAGTATCATATGAAACACACAAATACAAACTACAGCATTATTGGTTGTTAATCCAAGTGGTAAATTTAGTTACCACTGGGTTAAAGTTAACTCAGTGACTGAGTCTGTGAATGAGTGAACTAATAAGAGTATGAATAAATAGATGAATGTGTGTCTGAGCGGAAAATGTTAAGACTTCAGAATGGTTACCCAACACCACAGACCACTGCAAATGCTCTTCTACTTCATGTTAATTAAACAATACAACAATCAGATGAAAAGCCTGAAAATAACACCTTAATGCACAGTTGTACTTACATAAAATGGTTAAACTTAAACGTTTATGATTTATCACATTTTATTATATTCAAAATATTTCTTCTACTTATGTGTAGACAAGAAAACAGATAATTTTATAAGAACCTTAAAGTACACTAGCAGGTGACACGCTCTTTGGTTTCAGTCGGTGTAAGTGAAATTTCTATCAAAATCCATTTACTGGGTGTGCTGCTGAAATTCGGCCACAACACTCATGTACCCCAACTAAATACATGCCATTTCACCTTCACTTTGCACAGAGAATACCTTATAAGTATAAAAGTATGACTTGCCTTCTCCAGCTGATTATAGGCAGTCGCAATTCCCTCCTTGAGGAATATGCCATAATCCTTGTAGAATAAGTCATATTCTCCAGCATCCTTGGTGGACTTATCATGAAGAAAACGCAAAATTCGATTCATTAGTACTGTCTGCAACTTCCTGTAAATCCAGATGTACAGTAAAACTGATGATGGAAACAGATGGAAAGGGGTGATCAAAAAATAAAAGATCATCTTGTAAGTTTCTATGCAAGGCAACAACATGAACAGCAGGATCAAGTTTAGCACAGACACACACATCACTGTATTTTGGTTCCCACTGAACACATAGTGTTCAAATATAAAGCAAGAAAAGGAATTAATTCTATTTATCTAAATTTATCCTTTTAAAAGTATTATAACCAACCAATTTGTAGCCAATTTGTTTACTCGGCATTGTTGTGTAGTCTGGTTGATGTTTGCCAACGTTTCGGAGGTCATACTGCCTCCGTCATCAGGGCGATGAATTCATCACTACACAGCGCAACAACCCAGAAGACAGAAATCTTCATACTCACCGCTGTGAAAACCTCAAATAATACAAATCAATAGTGTTAAATTATTCAATTTATTCAAAATCTAATTCCACTTTAACCTGTTATAAAGCTTCATTCCAAAAAACGTTATGTACTGCTTAAACCAGATGAAAAATTGTATATGGTCTGATGATTCTGCATAGCAAATCTCAATTGTATATGATTAGTCATATTTGAAGTCCTGCCTAGTTCATGTGAGGCTAAAGTTATTGGCATAAATACACTAAAATAAACATGTAAAAATACCAATACTTTTAAACTGGAAGCGCCAAACATACCTTAATGCAGACCTCTTTAAGATACAACATAACAACATACTGTCATCCATGCAAGTGCCCATGGTTTGATTCAAAAGTTTTTGAAAAGTTAAAATTTGTGGAATTGGTTTCCTCATTCAACAGTGTGTTAGGGTTAGAGCTATTCTAGAAAGCATTGGTCAAAGAGACTATATATTCATAAAATTTTGGCAACTTTTTTTAGTAAACAAAAATATGTATTCATAAGATAACAGAAAAGGAGTCAATTTGATTCAAAACACAAAAGTAACTTTTTCTTGGTAAACCAGAATACATACTCGTAGGACTCATAATAAATAAGCCATTTCAGTATTTCATTCCAGCAGACTTCAAGAGAAAACTTGCATAAATCATCTCATGTGTTAGCAGCCACAAACCTGATAAGGGCACTGTTTTGTAGCAGCTCGCGGCTCAAGTTCAAGGGAATGTCTTCTGAGTCCACTACACCTGCAATATAACAAGCTTCAATGTTTCCGTTACATGACAAAATTATATTATAGACAAGCAGAGAAGACCAAATTTAAACCCAGGTCATGTCCACCTGTCTTGTCTCCAACAACGCATTTTTATTATGACTATCACCTGAATAATACTTGTAATCTATTCCCTGTTTACTATTAATCGATTAATCACCAATTAAGTTAATTTCAAAGTATTATCTCATGAAAAAAAATTATTTTTGTCTTGAAATTTTCATGACTGGAGTTCAATTTAAAACTACATCTTTCAGGGATGAGCCATATTAAATGTTGAAG